CCGCCTGCCTCTGCCTCCCGAGTGCTGGGATTAAAGGCATGCACCACCAACACCCAGCTTGCAAAATTGGTCTTTAACTATGCCATCTGTCCTATATATTTGTAAAGGTTTTCAATTGGAGATGTTGGAGTTGGGTGCAGTGGCTTATTTAGAGATGCTCATCTACAGTCGTGGCTCGTTAGACACATTGAAAATGCCTTAAAAGTTCCATCATAGGGTAACATTTTTTTTCTTTTGCTTATGGCAGGTTTCGGAAGGCCATGTTTGCCATGTTTAAATGCCAGCATCACCAAGCAATGCTTGAGACAAGTTCTGTACCAATGAATATGCCTCAAAGCCATAGCAAGGCCTGAGACAAGTTCTGTACCAGTTGGATATGCCTCAAAGCCCATTGACTTCTGGAAGAATCTGAAATGCGAGAAAGAATCTACCACCAAACATTTTATGTGTTTTGCGGGTTTTTTGGCAATACATTAATTTTATTTTAAATATGGATCCATTTAGATCAAGTGCAGACAAAGACTGTTGCCTTATTGGACTGCAGGTCTCTCCCACACAGCCAACACAGCTCCGTCTGTGCAATAGTTGCTGTAGGGCCTTCACTGTATCCTCCAGGATAAATGAGTAGCTAAAGATCCTTTGATGAACCCAGGCACACAAAACTGCAGTCTCTCTTCTTTCTCTTTAGAAGGCACACATTACAGCACATTACAGTGTACTGATGACCTGTAACTTGACTGAGTTGTCCATTAGACAAGAAATGACCACTAGAATATTAGAATATTTTAATATTAGGAAAAGTTAATAATAAACTAATCAAAATTATAATCCTGAATAATTAATTGCTGAAATGAGTTGTTTGATGTTTCCAGCTCTGAAAACATATTTTTAGCATCTCAAAAATTTGAATTTAGAATCAATTATTAATTCATCTTATTCAAACATTAAACACAACTGCTTTCTATCATGCAAATCTAGTGCACATATACAGGTTATAGCAGAGTGACATCTGTGTATTTTGCTATTATTTTTGTTTTTTTGATTTTTCAGGACAAGGTTTCTCAGTGTAACCACTCTGGCTGTCCTGGTACTCACTCTGTAGACCAAGCTAGCTTTGAACTCATAGAGATCCACCTGCTTCTACCTCCCAAGTGCTGGGATTAAAGTCCCGTGCCACCACCACCCAGCTGTATATTTTGTTACATATTCTAAATTTGTATTCTTTAAAATGTTTTAATTTGTGTGTGTGTGTGTGTGTGTGTGTGTGTGTGTACTCGCTAGTGCTTGCCAGTGCATGCTTGCACATGTACGTGTGTGCCTGCCTTCCTTCAGAGGCCAGAAGAGGGCATCAGATATCCTGGAACTGAAGTTACAGGCAATTGTGTCAACTGAGGGTGCTGGGAACTGAATTCGGGTCCTCTGGAAGAGTATCAGGAGTTCTTAACCACTGAACCATCTCATCTCTCCACCCCCTAAATTACAATTTATGTCTGCCACTAGAATTAGGTTCAAATAGAGTAGGGCTTTTTGTGTTTTTACCCTCTGCTGTATCCTTAGCACATGACTTATTCTGTCTGGCACATAGTAGGTACATTCACAGTTTGTTGTCTTTGTTTGTTTGTTTGTTTGTTTGTTTTCCAAGACAGGGTTTCTCTGTATAGCTCTGACTGTCTTGGAACTCGATTTGTAGACCAAACTGACCTTAGACTCAGAGATCCACCTGCCTCTACTTTTCCAGGTGCCACCACCACTCAGCTCAGTTTGTCACTTTTAATGTCTGACTATTAAACAGTACAATATACCATTATTTAAAAAGTAGACAACTAAACTGTTTCAATTGTCTACTTAACTTTTTCTTATGAGTTCTCCTTATTGTAGCCTAGCCTGGCCTCAAACTGGCAGTGATCAGCTCAGCGTCTCGGATTACAAATCTGTACCACCATGCCTGGCTCAGTTGTTTTTACTTTCATAGACACAAAATTGGGAACATGTTAATACATATATCTTTGTAGGGGTGGGTATCAGTTTTCTACCTGAGTCTTTATCCAGGCTAAGGTTATTAGATAGAATACAAAAGAATTATTATTAATAGCTTTCTCCGTGAGATGGTTGTGATACATGCATCACACTGGCCATGTATACACTTTCACTTAATACTCCTTAAAATATTGCTCTATAATGTTTCAAAACTATGTATTTTATACTGTAGTATGAATTTATCTTATTTCCCGTCTCTTTTAATGCTTTTTAGACCATGTATTTTCTTTATTGCCCCACCATTGTAAATTGCCTCCTTAACACCTTTGTCAGCATATTAAATCCTGCCAGCTAGTTTCAGTGAGACCATCCTCTCTGTGTGGCTAATGCTCAATTCCACAACTCCCCAGTTTAGCTTTCCATCCTCTGCCTTCACCTACTGCAATCATATATTAACTCCATAGCCAACTTTTTAAAAATGCAAATGTG